GAGGTGGTGCTTGGCATATGTTCAAGGTGATTTTGTTTGACTGGGTGAGAACTCCTCATGGGTCACCAAAATGGCAAAAAGCGAAAACAAATATAAGCAATCAACGACAAAAACGAAACCAACAAACACAAAAAAGGCACAAGCAAACTCTGCAAAAACGATAGCGCCCCAAGCAACGCAAGGCCCCCCCCCCCCCCGCCTTCCTGCGAGGCATCATGAACGAAACATGAAGGAACCAAATTTCGATTTAAAGCTTTCGTGACTGCAAGGATTCATCTTCTTTGGTTCTTTCGGTAAGGTCACGTAGAATGAGAATACAATAATAAATTGATAAAATAAAATAACACAATAATATTCTCACGACGTTTCGGCCACAACACAAGCGGCCTTCATCAGGTGAAGGGACAGTCTCGTCCCTTTTATCAATTTATTATTTTATTCTCATTCTACGTGACTTTACAGAAAGAACCAAAGAAGATGAGTGAACCAAATGCCAGATCTAACTCAGATCCCTATAATTAAAAACAAGTCTCCTAATTCTATTAACACTGTCGAACATAAATGTAATTAGTCAATTAAGTTTCATTATTTTACAAAAAAATATTACGTTGCTTGTCCATGGTATACAGAATCAGGATCTTAATTTGTCCTGGAGGAATCCGATGAGCTATGAAGCTCATTTTCACAGACGTTCAGTAGGGGCGGGTCAGAAAGTTACAACAATAATTCAAAACAATAGCAGTACAAAGTAAATCATGACAAAAAAAATTATATTACCAGGTAAAGCCCCACAGCGCCCACTGGGCTATTAGATTCTTTTTCAGAAGCGACCTGGCTACAAATGATAGCCCAACGAAGTGGCTTATCGCATGGATATTTATAACAGCCATTTGACACGCACAAAGGTAATGTATTCCGAGGGCCCACAGTGAGCCAACACCACCGCTGTGTGCATGAGAACCAGACAAACGAAATCATCCGGTGATGCTGCTGCATTGGCAATGCACGAACGTATGTTGAACTTCGTTCGCACCGTACGTAGCCAACCGTGCTAATCGGAGGTGCGGGGGAATGACAACAAACTACGGGTCTCTGTGTGAGTCTATGGGTCTCTGTGCAAGTCTATGCGTCTCTGTGTGAGTGCATGGGTCTCTGTGTGAGTCTAAGGGTCTCTGTGCGAGTCTATGGGTCTCTGTGTGAGTCTATGGGTCTCTGTGCGAGTCTATGGGTCTCTGTGCGAGTCTATGGGTCTCTGTGTGAGTCTATGGGTCTCTGTGTGAGTCTCTGTGTCTCTGTGTGAGTCTATGGGTCTCTGTGTGAGTCTATGGGTTTCTGTGCGAGTCTATGGGTCTCTCTGTGAGTCTATGAGTCTCTGTGTGAGTCTATGGGTCTCTGTGTGAGTCTATGGGTCTCTGTGTGAGTCTATGGGTCTCTGTGTGAGTCTATGGGTCTCTGTGTGAGTCTATGGGTCTCTGTGTGAGTCTACGTATGTATGTTAAACTTCTTTCACACCGTACGTAGCCAACCGTGCTAATCTGAGGTGCGGGGGGGGGGGGAGGAGGGACGACAAACTAAACGCAAAAATAAGTTATGAAGAAATGAGTTTTGTCAATCTTGAAGATGTTTTAAAAGTGCACAGCTCCCGGTCGCTTCCTCATATCGCACGGAAGAGCAATGGTGCACAAGCACAATAAGCGACAACAACAACTCAACAACTCAACAAAATCGTCGCTAATTACAACACCGCGTGTGTGGCGTTGTCAGCCCCTCTTCTTCACGCCATCAGCGTCACGCCAGAGCTCGGACAATGCAGGGGGATTACGAAGCCCCTCCCCCACCCCCCCCCGGGCAGGCGTGACGTCGCACACTTGCGTACGACGGCACGGTCAATTACCACATCGTGCGAATGACGCGCGGAAATCCACTCAAAGCTGCGGAAAATGTCCTTAAAATTTGGAAACCCCAAGTGTTGGAATCCTAAACCGTCATCCCAAAGACAAAGATCCCACCCCGTGTAGCCTTTATAGACTTTCGGGGCAAGTGCCCGGCACACGAGGGGGTGGGGTGGCCAGCACCACGCCCGGCCGCCTTTGTCGCCCCCAGTGGCGACGTTTACTACACACCGCGCCGGGTACTCATTTTAGGCTGCGTCGACCTAGGGGAGGCCCAGGACCGGTTCAGATAATCGTCACCGATATTGGCCCGTGAGCGGGAATCGAACTCGGGTCGCCGGGTTCGCAGCGCCGACCGCTGCTACACTACCGCTCCCCCACTATACCCATCCCTACCGCGCGCACACACACACACACATATATATGTAGATGTACCCACGAATACAAGCACCCCCCTCCCCACCCCTCCCTGATGGGATTCATTAATAAAATGCTCGTTGCGTTGGATTGGTGCCACAAGCGCAAATTGTTCCCCGTGGACCCGCACGGAGTTGCGGCCGTAGGTGCCGTTCGCGAGCACCACCCCCCCCCTCACCCCACCGCCCACCCTAGTAAAGGTTGGCACGATGTCAAATTCATCGCCGAGACAATGTCCAAAGTCACGATGTTGGCGGATTTCTATTGCTGCGCCCGATGCTCCCCCCTGACTTTGTGACTTTTTCTGTCACGTCGGTTTTTTTTGCTGCCGCCGCCGCCGCTTCCGCTTTGCGGTAACGTCCAGCGGCAAAAAAAACTATGCATATAAAGATTTTGCCGAAAAGCTCTCCAACTTCAATTCGCTCGACACGCGCCCTGCCGTGGGCTCGTCTCAAATCGATAGAATACCATCACCGATATTATTCCGCTTCTTCACCCACGTAAATCCTCGCCGAGCCTCGCGACTCGTATGTGTGCGATCCCAAATTACCGGGAAGCGATTCAGAATCAGAATATTCATTCATGCTGGAGGAATCCCCGATGAGCTAGGAAGGCCTTTTTTTTTCGCAGTAGACACAGATGTTCCAAATTAGACGCGAAGTCTTCCAAAATTTGGCAAATTTTTCATTTTTTTTATTTGTTGGGACCGTAACGCCTGCACGCAGAGGCCCAAGTCTCGTGAAACGACATCACCGGATTCCTCAACGTCCACGGTCGTTACGACTGTGCTCATCCAGGACAGGCCGCGTACAACGTGCATGAACTGCAAACTCGAGCAGGCACGGCCCCCACCGAGTGAGAGCTGGCCCCCACCGAATGGTAGCTCAACGAAGCGGCTTATCATCATCACCACGCGGAAATGTACGGCGGATAAATACCGCAGACACGCCGTGACGTTGATTCTAAATGTGGAGGGAAAAAAAACCGGAGGGCACGGAGAAAAATCCGCAAGACCACGGATAGAGAGACACCGCAAATTCCTAATATATACGGGCATTAGGGTTGGGATCGAACGCACGACCTCCTGCATACCAAGCGATGTAGTTAACATCTCCGAGCCACCGTGATTATGATGATGATGAGACACGCAAACTCCAAAGACAAAGCAGGCGTCACAGGGTGAGGATCGAACCCACGACCCACTGTAAACCAGGCGAGGTAGTTAACATCTTCTAGCCACCGTGATGATGAGAGAGAGAGAGAGAGACACGCAAACTCCCAATATAAATCAGGCGTCACAGGGTCGGGATCGAACCCACGACCCACTGTATACCAGGCGAGGTAGTTAACATCTCATAGCCACCGCGGAGCCCCAAACGACGCGCAACGCCCGAATCCACAAACGGCGAGGGGGACATCGCGCGAGGGTCCGCCGCTCCGCTACTCCCGACGCGCTTCACCCGGGCTCGACCGCCTGAATGTGTCACCGTTGTTGCTCCGCATCCACACCGGCCGTCTCGACGCACACCGCAGCGTTCACCGGGGCGGCCGCCGCATTCGCACCGCGGACCTCCGCGACGCGCCAGCGCCCGGGGCCACGCCTCCTCCTCCTCTCCCGCCCCCCCCCCCACCCCGCCCCCCCCCCCCCCCCGCCCCCCACCGCCGAGAACCGCCAAACTCCCACGACGAGCTCGTTATTTTTTGTTTGTTACATTGTACATTTTTTCCGCTTCGCAACGGCGAATCGCCTCCGTCTAGCAATCTCCAGGGGAATGGGGCAGAGCCAAACGATAATCCCCAGGGGAAATGCATTTTCTGCTGCCGTGAAGCGCGTGTCCATCACGCGGTCCCCCGCTTCTGCTGACCTGGTTCTCTTTCTCGGTCTCACTCTCACGCGCGCCCTCTCCCCCGGTGATTTATCCCTCTCTTTGAAGCGCTACCCCACCTCCACCCACCCGCTCCTCCGTACGTATCTCACGGTGTATCTGGCTGTCCCCCTCCCTACATACATCTACCCCGTGACACACGTGACACACGTGACACACGTGACACACGTGACACACGTGCCTCTCCTCTCGCTTCTGTCACTGCGCACATCTCCACGCCCGCCCGCTCCCTGCTGACCTCCCTCCCCCGCTCCCTCGCCCCACCCCTCCCTCCCTCGCCCCCACCCCTCCCTCCCCCGCTCCCTCGCCCCCTCCCTCCTTTCCTACCTCCCCCCTCCCTCCCCTACTCCCTCCCTCACCCCCTTCCCTACCTCCCCCCTCCCTCCTCCTTCCCTCCCCCCTCCCCTCCTTCTCCCTCCCTCACTCCCTCTCCCTCCCTCACCCCCTCCCTCTCCCTCCCTCACCCCCTCCCTCCCTCTCCCTCCCTCACCCCCTCCCTCCCTCTCCCTCCCTCACCCCCTCGCCCCCTCTCCCTCCCTCACTCCCTCCCACTCCCTCACCCCCTCACCCCCTCCCTCCCTCACCCCCTCCCTCTCCCTCCCTCACCCCCTCCCTCCCTCAGTTGTTGTTTTCCCAAGCGGCCTCTTTCCCTTCCCACAAAACGAGACCTGAGCTCTCGAAGAAGCCGCCGCCACCGCCCGGACGACCCCGCGGCGTGGACATCGCCCCGCCGGAGCCCCTTGACGTTCCGCGTCGGCGCCTCCGCCCCCCCTCCCCCCTACTCACCACTCCCCCCCCCACTCACCCACATCGGTGTCCTTGTGGCTCCTCACCAACTCGGCGAGGTCAAAGTTCCCGGCCACGATCGCCACCTGCGAGACCACGCGCACGACAGGACGACAGAGGCACTGACACACGAGCACGCCTGCGTAGATCCCCCGTGCGGCCTGTAACAGGCTGTCGGGGCGAGCGCTGTCAGCGAGTGGCAGCGCCTACGAAGGCCGGCATCGGCGCACGAGGGGGCGGGCGGCCAGCACCACGCCCGGCCGCCTTTGTCTCACCCCCAGTGGCGATGTTTACTGCACACCGCACCGGGTACTCGTTTGAGGCCGAGTCGACCTAGGGGAGGCCCAAGATCCGGTTAAGATAATCGTCACCGGTGTTGACCGCGAGCGGGAGTCGAACCCGGGTCGCCGGGTTCGTAGCGCAGCGCTGACCGCCATTGCCCCCGTCGAGATGTTAACTACCTCGCCTGCTACGCAGGAGGTTCGTGGGTTCGATCCCGATCCCGACGCCTGACCGCACGTTCTCCCCGTTGGCCGCGTAGATTTTTCCCCGGGTCCTCCGGGTTTTCCCCCTCCGCATTTAGAACGGACGTTGCTTCGTGGAGTGTTCGGCTGCCGGCGATGAATGTCCACGCGGCGATGATGGCGAGCCCGCTACGCCGAGCGATCATTCGTGATGGGAGGGTCGCTTCTGAAGAAGAGCTACACCGCTCAGTGGGGCCTTAACTGGTCAAACAGAAGTAGTCTGTGAGTTCAGTTTCATCTTGATTTGAAGCTTTCGTGATGGCAGGAATCCACACGCTTTGGTTCTTTTGGTAAAGTCACGTGAGGTAGAAAAATAAACTAAATCACGACGTTTCGGGCGCAACACAAGCCGTCCGTCCATCAGGTGGGAAAGGCTGAGTCGACCCAGGGGAGTCCCACACTGGGTCCTCGTTTCAGGCTGAGTGGCCCTAGAGGAGGCCCTCACTGGGTCCTCATTTCAGGCTGAGTCGACCTAAGGGAGTCCCTCACTGGGTCCTCATTTCAGGCTGAGTCGACCTAGGGGAGTCCCTCACTGGGTCCTCGTTTCAGGCTGAGTCGACCTAGGGGAGTCCCTCACTGGGTCCTCGTTTCAGGCTGAGTCGACCTAGGGGAGTCCCTTACAAGGTCCTCATTTCAGGCTGAGTCGCCCTAGGGGAGTCTCTCACTGGGCCCTCATTTCAGGCTGAGTCGACCTAAGGGAGTCTCTCACTGGGTCCTCATTTCAGGCTGAGTCGACCTAGGGGAGTCCCTCACTGGGTCCTCATTTCAGGCTGAGTCGACCTAGGGGAGTCCCTCACTGGGTCCTCGTTTCAGGCTGAGTCGACCTAGGGGAGTCCCTTACTGGGTCCTTATTTCAGGCTGAGTCGACCTAGGGGAGTCCCTCACTGGGCCCTCGTTTGAGGCTGAGTCGACCTAGGGGAGTCCTCATTTCATAGTTCATTGACGCAGGGGAGGCCTCAATTGAGGCCTAATTGAGATCCCTCCACTGGACACTCAGGCCAGGGATCCAACCCAGGTCACTAACCACTGCGGTTCCACCACAACCCCCCCCCATGCATTGATGTCTCGGCAGAGCAAGCAAGCGACACCTTCCGGCTCCGATTGTCGATCCGCTGCCTCGCTCTCGATGAATTATTTAACATCATCCCCCACATCACACGCCCTGGCCCATGCACGCTCGCTCACTTACACACAGCAAGGCCACAAATGAAAACAAGCTGGCGAGCCCAGCCACTTCAGGGAGCCTCTGATATCACTTCACAAATATTGATATGCAGTTAATTCTGGACGGATCTACGTGCGTGCTCAACTTCGTTCACAACGTACATAGCCAAGCAGTTAAGTTTCGTTTTAAAGCTTTCGTGACTGCAGGGATTCATATTCTTTGTTCTTTCGGTAAAGTCACATAGAAGGGAAATAATAAAACAATACAAATGTAACAATACAATTCTCACTACGTTTCGACTGCAACAGAAGCAATCATCATCAGGTGTGAAAACCACAGCAAGAAAATTTCAAGAAAATTTCTTGCTGTGGCAAGAAAATTTCTTGCTGTGGTTTTCACACCTGATGATGATTGCTTGTGTTGCAATCGAAACGTCGTGAGAATTGTTTTTTTATTTCCTTTCTACGTGACTTTACCGAAAGAACCATGCATGCAAAGAGCAGTTCTAAAGAAATGAGCTTGCAATCTAGATTATTTAAAAGTGCATAGGCTCGGTGGGAGGAAGAGCGTTCCAGACGGCCGCGGGAGCGCATCTGAAAGCGCCGTGCGATGCGCGGTGGACCACCGCCTTTGTTCGACGGCTTCGCCAAAAGCCGCCGCTGCTTACGAGGATGACCACCGGAGTTTACGTGAGGAGCGGAGTTCCCGTGATCAAGGTTTGCGGATTAGATCACGCTATGAAAAGCATACAAAACAACAAAACCATTTTAACCATCGGCCTCACCCGTCGAGGCGCCAGCGATCGCAGTCGCCTCCGGCGAGTCAACCGACCGACCGACCACTTTATTTATTTCTTAAATACCTTCTCATTAAATTTTTTGTTTCATGGCTGCGCACAACGACAAAGGCGTTGGACGCTGCAGAACGTTGGGCGACAACAACAACAACAACAACAACCGCACGCGACTATTATTCGCCAGGCCGCATGTACCCGGCGCGTTCTGGTTGATGGGCGGGGGAGGAGGGGGGGTGAGGCAAGACGACCCGGGGCAAACCGATCGACTGCTTTTTGAAAGGCAACGGCCACGTTTGGCTTGGGGGCCTGAGAGATAAAAGTGAAGGACTGTGGGTGGAGAGCATTGGCGTAATGAGGTGGTCCGGTGGTGGGTGGCCGAAGGGTAGGGAGCCCAAAAGCACACTCGGTAGGCCGCCGCCGCCGCCAGAGATCAATTCACCTCGCCGTCAACCAGGCCTCGTCATGCTGGTTTAGAGGCACAGTCGACGCTCGACTTCCAACCCGTCGATTGTACGCTGCCCCCCCCCCTCCGCACCACCCTCCCCCCGCTAACCGCCCGACGCCATCTGCCGAACGCTGCTGGATAAAAACGCTGGGACCGGAAGGCTCCATCCATTAGGCCGCTGGGGCCTAGGTTCGACAATTTCTGTTCCGTCGGCGAGACAAACCCTTGGGCCTAATGATTTGTCAAACGGGCGTAGAGCGAGCGAGCGAGAGAGAGAGCGTCGTGCGTTTACCTGGAAGGCCGTACAGCCAGCGAGCCAGTGAGCGAGAAACCGAGCGGACGAGCGAGACAGACAGAGAGCGAGCGCGGACGAGCGAGACAGAGAGAGAGAGCGAGCGAGCGGACGAGCATGCGTTCACCTGGAAGGCCGTACAGTCAGCGAGCCAGTGAGCGAGAAAGCGAGCGGACGAGCGAGACAGAGCGAGCGCGGACGAGCGAGACAGACAGAGAGCGAGCGGACGAGGGAGACGGCGAGAGAGCGAGCGAGCGGACGATCGAGACGGAGCGAGCGCGGACGATCGAGACGGCGTGCGGACGAGGGAGACAGACAGCGAGAGAGCGGACGAGCGAGACGGAGAGAGAGAGAGGGAGCGAGCGGACGAGCGTGCGTTCACCTGGAAGGCCGTCTGGCTGTTGAAGTTCTTGATTTCCTTGCTTGCACCGCGATAGAGCAACACCCGGGCACAGCTCTCCTGCGCGAGCACGGACACGCGGCGAGTGAGCTGTGGCCATTCGTCGCTTCTGCATTTAGAACCGCCGTGGATTTAGAGCATCTGGCTGCCACGATAAATTCCCACGTGATACGCCACTTCGCTGGCCTATCATTTGGTAACCAGGTTGCTTCTGAAAAAAAGAACCGTATATAACTCAGGAGGCTTTACCTAGTTAAGTAAAAAAATAGTTTAGTTCAGAACCCCGCCGATGGCTGACCTCAGGGCGGCCACGAGATTCATCGTCATCATCGGGCCTTGTGCGCTCAAGTTGGTCTTACCTGGTAAAAAAAACAAACATGTATTATTCTAATAATAATTCGATAAAAAAATTAGTTTCACCTGGTTGTAGAGGGCACAGATGTGCAATGCCGTGTTGCCGGACGCATTCTGCGTGCTCATGTCGGCCCCGTAGAACAAGAGGTGCTCCAGATGTTGCACAAGCCCGTGTCTGCAGGCCTGACGGAGACAAACGGACACCGTTGGGGCGAGAGCGGCTTAGCGAGCTCCTGTTGAGGCAGGCCAACGTCGCCCGGGGGGCAGGGCGGGCGGGCGGGCAGGCGGGCGGGCCCTCACCACGAGCCGGGCCGCTTTCGTCCCCCCCGGTGGCGATGTTTACGCACCGCACCAGGCTTTTGTTTAAGGCTGAGCCGACTTGAGGGTGGGGCCCAGGAACGGTTCAAATAATCGTCACTCGGTGTTGATGGCCGTGAGCGGGACTTTGTGTTACTGAAATGTATTGTTATTTACTCAGGTCGTGAGCGGGACTTTGTGTTACTGAAATGTATTGTTATTTACTCAGGTAAGGCCCACTGAGCTACGGAGCTCTCTTTCCGCAGCGACCTGGCTCTCACGAATGATAGCCTCAACGTGGAAATTCTCAGCAGCCAAATACCCCGAAACGCATTGTGTTTTTGACTGTGGAGTGGAAAAACCTGGAGGACCCGGAGAAAAATCCACGTGACCACAGGGAGAGAAATAGACACGCAAACTCCAAAAAAACGGCAGACGTCGGGGGTGGGGATGGAACCCCACGACCTCCTGTACACCAGGCGAGGTAGTTAACATCTCATGGCCACCGCGGCGCCCATCGTAACGCACGGTGGCGCCAACCGCCGCACCGCCCGCCACGGCCGTGCGGGCCGACCTTGCTTCACCCCCCCCACGCTCCCCCCACGGCCCCCCCCCCCCCCACCTGGTGGAGCTCGTTCCAGCCGCTCTCATCGCTGCTGCCCACGGTGGCGTGGTCGTGCAGCAGTGTCTCGCAGCAGCGAGCGTCACCCCCCGCCAGCACCGTGTAGTAGAGCGGCGTGAGTCCGCGCGCGTCCCCGTAGTCCGGCGACGCGCCCAGGTCCAGCAACGTCTGGGGAGGGAAGGGGGTCAAGGGTCAAGAGAGGTCAGCCGGAGGTCAGCGGGTGAATGTGGCCGCACGAGGCGGAGCGGGGAGTGTGTGTGTGTGTGTGCTCGTGAAGGACGCTGCTGCTGCTGCTGGGCAGTTGGGAGGCGGTCGCCCCTCCAGCAACAACGGAGGGCCAGAGGAGCGGCGCTCACAACAACGAGCGGAGCGGAGGGCGGATCAAACGCAGCGAGTTGGCACAGTAGGGGGGGGGCACAGCTGGTGGTGCATGTGCCTCAGTCGGTCGACCCCGTGGCACATGCCGGGTCTGCCCGTGACCTGCTGCCAACGGGCGTTCGAAACTTCGTTCACATAGCCTGGCACAAGCGCCGTGGTGACGTCACCGCCACTTAGTGGCGAATGGCGGTCGCTGTTGTTGCTGTTAAATGGGAGAGCGGTGGTGTAGCGGTTAGCGCGCCGCGCTTACGAACCCAGTGAACCAAGTTCGATTCCCGCTCACGGCCAATATCGGTGACGAATATCTGAACCGGTCCTGGGCCTCCCCTAGGTCGACTCAGCCTCAAATGAGTACCCGGTTCGGTGTGTAAACATTGCCACTGGGGAGACAAAGGCCGCCGGGCGTGGTGCTGGCCACCCACCCCCTCGCTAACAGCACTTGCCCCTACAGTCTGTTATAGGCTACACGGGGGATCTTTGTCTTTGTATGTAAATGGAACTTCTTGTGTGTTTGTGCGAGCGTATTGCATTTGCGCGTGTACATGTGTAGCGTGTGTGTGTGTGTGCGTCTGCGTGCGTGCGTGTGTGCATGTGTACACGTGTGTGCATGTGTACACGTGTGTGCATGTGTACACGTGCGTGCGCGTGTACACGTGTGTGCACGTGTACACGTGTGTGCATGTGTACACGTGTGTGTGCACGTGCGTGCGCCTGCGTGCGTTACCGAGAGCGCTTCGAGGTTGCGGGCGCGCGTTGCCTTGTGCAGCGCCGTGAGTCCGTCGCGCGAGCGGAAGTCCAGGTGGGCGCCGCCGTTCTTCAGCGCCTTGATGAGCTCCGTGGCCCCGTCCACGCTCACCGCCGCCGTCAGAGGTGAATCTAGAGCACGGGGGGGGTGGTGGGGGTTTCTCCACAACTCTGGCTGTTGCCCGATGATGCCGGTTGCGATGCCCGGCGAGTCGCGTGAAATATCGCGGCATTGCTCTCCAACGCACGACCGGCGTGCCGGGCCAGCGACGAATCGGCTACGTTCTGTTTACGCGACGAACCCCTTGGCGATTGGCTGCGTCGGGCGGTGGCGGGTTTAACGACACATTCATTCATTGACGCGATCTGACAGCACAAATCGTGCGGTAGACAACGAACACGGCCGGGGCCAACGTTGAGGCCACGGCACCAAACCGCGCACCGACGTCAGGGGCATTCCCGGCGGCCGTTGGGACGTTCCTCACCTCCCGTGTCGGGGTCGTGGAAGTTGGGGTCGAGGCCTTTGTCCAGGAGCTTGGCGAGCTTCTCCACGGCGCGGTGCGCCACGTAGTCCATGCACCGCTTGAGGTTCGCCTGCACGCACGCGCGGCCGCATCAACACACAGCCCCCACCCCGACGGACGGTGCCAGGTACGCAGGAGGTCGTGGGTTCGATCCCGACCCCGACGCCTGGTGCTGTACAATTGGAGTTTGTGTCTCTCATCATCATCATCATCACGGTGGCTAGGAGATGTTGACTACCTCTCCAGGTACGCAGGAGGTCGTGGGTTCGATCCCGACCCCGACGCCTGGTGCTGTACATTTGGAGTTTGTGTCTCTCATCATCATCACGGTGGCTAGGAGATGTTAACTACCTCGCCTGGTATACAGGAGGTCGTGGGTTCCATCCCGACCCTGACGCCTGGTGCTGTACATTTGGAGTTTGTGTCTCTCATCATCATCACGGTGGCTAGGAGATGTTAACTACCTCGCCTGGTGTACAGGAGGTCGTGGGTTCGATCCCGACACTGACGATGCCCGTTGTATATATTTGGAGTTCACAATTGTATTGCAAATGTTGTGTGGGTTTGCAATTGTAAATGTTGTGGGTTTACTCTCCAACACACCGGTGTGCTGTACTCGTAACGAATTTACACGTTTTGTTCACGTGACAAACCTTTACTGATTGGCTGTGTCGGGTGGTGGCGGGTTTAACGTTCATATTTACGCGATCTAAAAAATAAAACCCCTGTTATGGATAATATTGGTCGCCAAAGCCTCCTACATGTTCAACTAAACGCCATCTTGATTTAAAGCTTTCGTGACTGCAGTAATTCATATTCTTAGCTCTTTCGGTAAAGTCACGTTGAAGGGAAACAATAAAATAATAAAGTATATTGTTTCATATATATATTTTATTATTTTATTGTTTCGCTTCAACGTGACTTTACCGAAAGAGCTAAGAATATAACCGCCATCTGTTCATTCTATCTGTACGGTGGGATAGAGCGTTTCCCCCTCGCACGAGGCTTGGGTTTTCTCCGGGTGCTCCGGTTTCCTCCCGCACGTGAATAATAATAATAATAATCGTAAACACGAGGCGGGATTGCTCCTGCAATAGAAGTAAATTATTATTTGTAATGATTATTTCTCATAATGCCCACCTTCTGCGTGTTGCTCGAAACCCACTGTCATTTGGCAGAATTAACCCCTTCGTTACATACTTGCACATTTTGTGCGTTCTAAAGTTTCACGTGGCAAGTGGCCACCTGATCACCTGGTCGTTCCTCCTTGTCATCGGCTTTCTATTTCGCTCAGATCGTATCTCGCCTTGCGAGTGCAGTTTCATTTTTAGCCACAGCGCTCTGAGATCCATCTGTTGAACACTTAGAAGATTGACAAACTCATTTCTTTAGCGATGCTTTTTTTAGTTTGTTGCACTGTACACCATTGGAAACCTCATTTGCCAGTAACAAAATATGATAATTGGTTTTTTACCCTTTTATCTGGCAACAAAACTGACACCTTTTTTTTACAAGGAGTCATGTTTACATTGACCACAATACCTGCGGTCGGAACGCAAACAAAAAAATAACAACTCTGATAATGTATGTGGCACTGTCCTTGAAATTGATTGGTCCATACCCGAGACAGCTTTCTTTAGAGCCTCGTCTCACATGGTGTTGGACCAGAAGACGCTAAAAGGCGCACAACTCAAAGGCAATGCACCATCAGAGTATGAGAGGACAGTGAATACATTATCAGAGTTGTTGTTTTTTTGTTTGCGTTCCGACCGCAGGTATTGTGGTCAATGTAAACATGACTCCTTGTAAAAAAAGGCGTCAGTTTTGTTGCCAGATAAAAGGGTAAAAAAACAATTATCATATTTTGTTACTGGCAAATGAAGTTTCCAATGGTGTATATGCTTACCCCGAGCTCTCATACTCTGATGGTGCATTACCTTTGAGTTGTGCGCCTTTTGGCGTCTTCTGGTCCAACACCATCTGAGACGAGGCTCTAAAGAAAGCTGTCTCGGGTGTGGACCAATCAATTTCAAGGACAGTGCCACATACATTATCAGAGTTGTTGTTTTTTGTTTGCGTTCCGACCGCAGGTATTGTGGTCAATGTAAACAGGACTCCTTGTAAAAAAAGGTGTCAGTTTTGTTGCCAGATAAAATGGTCAAAAAACAATTATCATTTGTTGCGCTGTCCCCGCAAACACCTCCGATTAGCCACGGTTTTGCCGACGTACGTACGGTGCGACAGAGGTTCAACGACATACGTACTTAAGTGTTCAAGGCGGTTCATAAAATCGAGGTTGTTGTTGTCATTATTATTACAAGTGTTGGCCCCTTCGTGTAAACGCGGTTTGCGTGCGGCGCGCAGAGGCGCCCTGCACGGGGTTTTCCAGTGAACACAAGGGTCTTGTGCGTTGTTATAAAGTTTACGTGCCAGCGACCACCTGATCACCTGATCGTTCCCCCCCCCCCCCCCTTATTAATCGGCTTTCTGTATCTCCTCGATATTGTCTCCAGTTGGGAGTGCAGCTTTGTAGTTTCACGTCCAGGTGCTTCCATACGAAAAAGCGGTTTATTAAATCGAGGTTATTATTATTATTAACAACAACAACAATAATAACCTCGATTTAATAAACCGCCTTTCGCGCAGAGATGCCCTTCGCGGAGGCGAGAGGCTCCCCCCTGCGTAGATAAAGATTGACTGAATGTATTTAATCACCGTGTGGCCAGAATCGAGAATCTTTATTTAGACTGCAGGAGGAGAAATCCGATGAGCTACGAAGCTCTTTAGAGCACAGATCTCCAGAACAGGCCGAGGTTCTCACAATTAAATTATATATTTTTTTGTCGTAGCTAAAAAAAAATCTATATGAATAATACAATAACAACAATAACAACAACGTACAGAGTGACAGGTAGGGGGCACGGGGTCAGCATAGCTTTAGTCAGGGGGGGGGGGGGCACTGCACATGAATGGGGGGCAGAGTCGGGGGGGGGAGGGGGGGTGGGCGACGTTGAATCACCTTCGAGTGCAGCTTGGACAGCTGCTTGTCGTCCAAGTTGAGTTGCTTGTAAACTCGCTTCTTGTATCGGAACTGCCAATAACAGAGTCGCCCCCACCCCCGGGGGGTTAGAAACAACAACAACAACGCCAACGTCAGTATCAACGACTGACAACAACAACAGCCGCATCTGCGACGTCAACAGCGGCGGCAACAGCTCCCACGATAAACATCAACGCCGTCCATGATAGAGGGTCTTTTTTTTGGGGTTGGATCGCGTAAATATATAAATGTTGTGTCGTTAAACCCGCCACCACCCGACACAGCCAACTAGTAAGAAGTTTGTCACGTAAGCAGAACGTGGCCAATTCGTCACTAGTACAGCATTAGTATATAGTGTAGTGTATAGTGTAGTGTATAGTAGTGTATAGTGTAGTGTATAGTGGAGTGTATAGTAGTGTATAGTAGTGTAGTGTATAGTAGTGTATAGTAGTGTATAGTAGTGTACAGTGTAGTGTATAGTGTAGTGTATAGTAGTGTATAGTAGTGTAGTGTGTAGTGTATAGTAGTGTATAGTGTAGTGTATAGTAGTGTACAGTGTAGTGTATAGTAGTGTATAGTGTAGTGTATAATAGTGTAGTGTATAGTAGTGTATAGTGTAGTGTACAGTAGTGTATAGTAGTGTAGTGTATAGTGTACAGTAGTGTATCATGGAGTGTATAGTGTAGTGTATAGTAGTGTAGTGTATAGTAGTGTAGTTTATAGTGTAGTGTATAGTGTAGTGTATAGTAGTGTAGTGTATAGTAGTGTATAGTGTAGTGTATAGTAGTGTATAGTGTGTAGTGTAGTATATAGTGTAGTGTATAGTAGTGTATAGTGTAGTGTATAGTGTAGTGTATAGTAGTGTATAGTGTAGTCTATAGTGTAGTGTACTAGTACAGCCACATCGGTTGTGTGTTGGAGAGCAAAGCCACAACATTTACAATCTGAGTACGACGTTTCGCCAGTAATCACAACCAGCTTCATCAGGCGGACAGCCAGATTTGTGGAGAAGTCCCCCTCTGTTTCGTTCCTTATACAGAAGCGTGGGGGTAGGAGGGGATTTTAACGCCACACGTATATATTTACGCGATCTAACCCAAAAAAACCCCTCTATTATGGATGATATTGGTCGCGAAAGCCTACATGTTAAATCATCACCATCATCATCACCATCATCATCATCATCGTCGTTGTCGTCGATGACAAGCGCCGTCGGATCTCTGACGTCCAATCCGCACGGAGGAAGGAGAAGTGGGGGGGGGGGGGGGGGGGGAGGAGGACGAGGAGGAGTGGCGGAGGTGGGAGGAGGAAGGAAATCAGTCGGCCACCTCCGCGGTCATCACCACCGCCAGAGCCGTCCCCCGGGGGTACACGGCTAACCGGGGCGACCTGCCCCAGGCCCCGCGCTTTGGGGGGGGGGGGAGGGGGGTTGCTGCCCCCCCCCACCCCGCGTTTCCACGTCACGGCGTCAAGACGCGACGCACGGCCGGCGGTGCCGGACTCGAGTGCCGAGCCGACGCGCCCGTTGTGAGCGGCGCTTGTGACCCCCACACTCCCCCCGGACCGTTCCTCGTAGCCCGCGACGGGAGGATTCCCGCCATGCCCCTGTCCCGTGCGAGTGGAATGGCTCCCCAACCCTCCCCCCCCCCCACCACCACTCTCGTCCCGAACGAAGCGGAGAAGTTAGTTATTCTATTCTTCTAGCGCATGCACGTGTGCCGGTGTGCGCGCGCGCGAGTGCGATTCCCGCTCATGGCCAACGCCGGTGACGATTATCTGAACCGGTCCTGGGCCTCCCCCTAGGTCGACTCGGCCCCGAACGAGTACCCGGCGCGACGAGAGAGACAAAGGTGGCCCGGGCGTGGCGCCGGCCGCTCACCCCCTCGCGTGCCGCGCCGTGCCGGCCTTCACCGGCGCTGCCACTCTTTGGAGGGGCGGGGTAGCGGACGGCACGCTCGACGGACCGCTAACGGCGTTTGCTGAAGAGCCGAGCTGGCACAGGAAACGTCGCGTCCGGTGGCAGCGCCCGGGCGAGACGACCGACACGACCAAGACGACTGACACGACCAAGACGACTGACACGACCAAGACGACCAAGACGACTGACACGACCAAGACGACTGACACGACCAAGACGACCAAGACGACTGACACGACCAAGACGACTGACACGACCAAGACGACCAAGACGACTGACACGACCAAGACGACCAAGACGACCAAGACGACCAAGACGACCGACACGACCAAGACGACCGACACGACCAAGACTGAGATGACCAAGACGACCGACACGACCAAGACGACCGACACGACCGACACGACCAAGACGACCAAGACGACCAAGACGACCGACACGACCAAGACGACCGACACGACCAAGACGACTGACACGACCGAGACGACCGACACGACCAAGACGACCAAGACGACCGACACGACCAAGACGACCAAGACGACCGACACGACCGACACGACCAAGACGACCGACACGACCAAGACGACTGACACGACCGAGACGACCGACACGACCAAGACGACCAAGACGACCGACACGACCGACACGACCAAGACGACCAAGACGACCGACACGACCGAGACGACCGACACGACCAAGACGACCGAGAGGACCGACACGACCAAGACGATCTATATGACCGATGTGACTGATAAGACGACCAAGACGACTGAGACTGAGACTGAGACGACCAAGACGCAGTTTGAAAGCACCGGTAACTGCGGGAGGGCTTCCGTCTTGGGGGGGGGGGGGGGGGGGTGGGTTCTCCGAGTGCGCCGAACTTCGTCTCTTCGTGTACAACGCGACCCCCCCCCTCGCCCCCCCGGCCCCAACCCCCCCGGCGGACTCAATGCAGGAGGCTCCGGTAACGTGAGTCTCGAGCCTCCGGGGGCGAGTGTAGTCCCGGCGTCAAGCGATGTGACACCAAGCGACGGGGCTCACCGCGGCGCGCCTCTCGGGGGGCGGGGGGGGGGGGCGAGGGGAGGGGCGGGGGGGGAAGGGGGAACCGGGGTTACCGCGCGTCGTTCAGCGCGATGTCCGACGTTTCGCTCCAGTGCCGCCGCCGGCTACCCTTTCCGAAGCTCCTCCCGCCCACTGAGTTTTGCCGGAAAAGCTCGCGGGGCGGACGGGGGGAGGGGGGAGGAGGGAGGGGGGAGGAGGGAGGGGGGAGGGGTGAGGGTGGAGCGGGGAGGGGTGAGGATGGAGGGGGGAGGGGTGAGGGTGGAGCGGGGAGGGTGGAGCGGGGGAATCGTCGGTGAAATCGCGAGGCAGAGCGCCGCCCGCCGGTCACGCCGCCGCACCGCCACCAATTGGTGGCGGTGCGGCGGCGAGTGCAGGGCCGCCGCGTCTCGCCACCGCACCGGCAGAAGCTGCACCGGGAGAGGCATGGCCGGACGAGGGGCGACGGTCGAAGCCGGCCAACCCCCCCACCCCCCCCCACCTCTCCTCTCACCGCCGCTCTCTCGCAGCCCCCGCGCGAGCCGCCCCCCTCTCAGCGGCCGTCGCCCCGGCGCCCGCGGTGAGAGACGCGCGCCGGGGCGCCGTTGCCGGGGCGCGAGCGCCAGCGGTGACTCGGGCGGGAGGAGCCGAGGAGATCTTTGACCATTCTAAATTTTTATTTTTTATTTTTTATTTTGTCATACTCGTTTGGTTTTTCTCATCAATCCATCGCCGCGGCTGACTTTGGGGGGGCTGCCGCGGGGAACAAAAAAAATTGTCAAGACTTTCACCGCTCGTTACGGCCGCGTTTTTTGTCGTATAAATATCCACCCCCCCCCCCTCCCGCCTCGCCTTCTTAGCCGCGGCTCACATTACGTCCCTCCCCTGCCTAGCCTGGAGCAGCACCGGCACAGGCACGGGCTCCGTGCGTGGCAGTAAGCCTAGCGCACACGTGCACCACGAGCCGCCGCCTTCTCCCTCCTCGCTCGCTCGCTCGCTCCATCGTGGGGGGGGCGGTGGTGGAGTGGGTTGGGGTTGGAGGGGGAGGTGACGGCGGCGTCCGACCAGCGGGGGGGGGCAGTGCGATCTACCGGCTGAGCGGGGGACAGCCCCGCGTCGATCTCAGCCCCGTTCGGGGCTCCCACAAGCTTCGGCCGACGTGCGCACGCGCGCAAAGACAAAGGTCCCCGGATAGCCTCAGACAGGCTGTCGTCGGGGCAAGTGCTCTTGGCGAGCAACGGTGGAGGGTCAGAACGACAAACTCCCGTGGAGGGGTTGGTGGGCCAGCGCCAGACCCAGCCACCTTTGTCTCCCCCCGGTGCCGATGCCTCCACCGCCAATACCAGGGTGTGGAGGCATCGGCGCTCTAGGCGGCAAAAAGTGGACCTAAGGGGTGGCGGCCCCCCCAGGGACCGGTTCGGATAATCGCCACCGGCGTTGGCCGCGAGCGGAAACCGAAGTCGGGGCTCGGCGGGCGCCGTCGCCGCGGCGCCCGCGCCAGGCTCGGTGCGCGTCGAGGGCTCACGCGAGGGGAGGAAGGCTCGCTGCCGGCAGGAGGCCGTGGCACGGACCCCACGTGCCGTGGGTTGACCGACAGATGAGGATGGCAGACGCAACCACCTGTGCCCGCCCCAAAAAAACAAAGATTCCCACCCCTCCCCCCACCCCCCCCCCCCACCCCGTATAGCCTCAACAGACTGTTGGGGGCAAGTGCCGGCAGGTGCTGCTGGGGGGAGGGTGGTGGGGATTTAAGAATCTCGCAACTATTATTTGGTTCTTTCGGTGAAGTCACGGAGATAGAAAATGAAAATAAAATTAATAAGCAAAAAAAAACCCACGAGGTTTCGATCGCAACACAAGCGGCCTGCCGCTGATACTCCTGTTGCTGCTGCTGTTGCTGCTGCTGCTATTGCTGCTGCTGTTGCTGCTGTTGCTGCTGCTGCTGCTGTTGCTGCTGCTGCTGTTGCTGCTGTTGCTGCTGCTGCCACTGATACTGCTGTTGCTGCTACTGCTGTTGCTGCTGCTGTTGCTGCTGTTGCTGCTGCTGCTGTTGCTGCTGTTGCTGCTGCTGTTGCTGCTGCTGCTGTTGCTGATA